ACAGTGAAAACACACTTACCAAGAATTAAACTTAACTTCGTCATCGTAATGAGGAGGAGTACTTACGTAAACACCTGCAGTTGTTGCAGGACGGTCGAGTCAGCAGAACACAGGAGACTCAAATAAGGGACAAATGTGAGGTCACGTGTTTCGACAGCTAGGCTGTCATTCTCAGCAGTGTGACAATGTTAATTTTTGTAAGTATGGTATGCGTATACTCGAACAGCGCGCTATTCCAAGACTGATTAATCAAACGTACGGAAGAGTTCTGAATAGAATAAATGAAATTGCAACAATGCTTGAAATATTATCTTTCCTGTAATTAATGTTGTGTTGCTAATTTGTTTATCTCATAGTGGATTATTAATTAATTAATAATAGTTCATAATCGATTATTCTGCTGAACTTCGTGCGACACTTAAACATCGTTCGACAATATCGTTGAAACTGAAAAAGCTGAATATGGCATAAGTACCTATCTACAGCAAAGATAAGTATAACCAATGTTTGTTTTGCACACGAACGCAATAAATTTTCTTTTAATCAGTGATAAATATACTTTATATTGAACATTTGGTTTTTGCAAAATTCGTTATACCGTAATTTGACCTGTATTCGTTTTAAAACTCCAAACTGTAATGGCACAGTGCAGTACTTTGTAACATAAAGTGTTAAATGTAAACATACTTTGCTGAAATTTTGAACGATACATACTTGAATAATCTACAATTATTCTGAAACTTCTTAAGTCAACGCTCTCTACGAGTTACAGCTTCGACTGACTTGTTTAGAGATCCAAACAAGGCGAATTGCGGCCTCAAAATTGATGCATCTAGTGATACTTTTGTAAGTTTTGGACGCTTTACTACATCGAACATCGTACTGTTCCTATTTTAAGCAGCTCAGCGACTTGCCATGTGTTTCATCTGGTCTCTCTGGAACAAAATGAGACAAAATCTATCACTCCAATCTTGACCAAGATTGGCAATATCTAGAACTAACTGCAGGATGCCAAACTTTGCGCGTTTCTCCCCATTGTTGCAGCGGAGTTCATGGTAGGGTTCAAAGGATCGACAAACGTAGCTTGTCAATTTGCACAAAGTACGTTGATGAAAACACGGGGAAAAACAGATAGTGCAACAGGTTAAGTACTGGAGTTCCACTGGTGCAGTAGACGTACTCACAATGCGTTGCTGATATGCATATCTTCCCTTCTGTTTACTTTGCCTCAGATTTTTTTACTTCAGCTTTTTCTATAATGTTCCGTTACCTTCTTTTCGAATTATCGTGCTGGAGACCGACTGGATGGCATGATTTTTCACTGTGTTGTATTCTGCCATTGGTGTAACTTTCTTGTCTGCCCTGTTTATGCAGATGGTATGCTATCTTTTATTATTTTTGAGTTCATGTCAGGTTTTTCTGATATGAATGTTGCCACCAGTGCAAGTGAGGCGATAGATGACCCAAGGGGTCTCATATACGAATATATTATTTCATTCTTATGCAGAATATCCCTATCTGCTTAGGATAGGAGCATACCGTTCTATGATCGTATTTGTGCATGAACCGTTGTAGCCTTTAGAACAAATTCCTTTATAAAAAATCACTAAATAGGTCTCCTAGCAAACATATATGTATGCAGTTAGGTTCCATGTGATTCTGCTCAGTTTCAAGTTTATATTTCGATATTGCTTGGCGACGAAAGGCTCCGAATTGTTGTTTTCTGTTAATTCTATTATTGTTCTCTTGTAAAATAAGATGGGATATGATTATCGCTGCTCATTTCTTAGTTACAAGGTTGGTGCCAGCCCAGCTTTCACCGATACGGTTGCGTTGAACCTGTGACAATTATTTCTTCTATTATGTGGATATTAGACGACGGTCGTTCTTAAGCCATTGCCGTCCTTATACAGTATGACGACCTGAAGCGGAAGATTTTCGCTTTCTGAGAGTTTGTACGTGAACTGGACCTTCGCGTGGATGCTGTTCAAGTGCTCCGGTAGTCGTAGAGCAGGATGCGTTCGTGCCAGCACTGAGATGAGGCGTCGTCAAGGCTAGGTGCCAATTTGTTCTGCACACTGGTTGCGTTCGAGTTACTCGCCGCACAGCTGATCGCCGTCTATACAGTCACTCGTTGCCATTTATGTCGGTTTTTATGGCGTGAAATTTGAGCAATGGGTCGGTCGCTGGCTGACGTCTGTTTTCACAATTTTAAAATAGAAGGGTACAACTCATAACAAATTTATGAAGCATTCGTTATGCATTTATTTGATACACTATTACACGAGCCCATTTCCCATGAATAATGGATACAACACTAAAACAGTGGGGTACTCAATTGGTAACTTACAGTGTGTGCAAGGTCTCTTAAATAGCCGAGAAGTTGTGTATTGGCGCAAACATTTTCGGAATCTTCTGATTATTTATGAAACTGCGAACCAACTTTCGTGACGACGGTACGCCGAGTTGAATAATCGTATTTTTTCCTTTGTGGCGGTTGAGCTGCTCATTATCAACTTCTTTGCCGACAAACGATGACCTTCCATATGGAAGGATTGTGTGAGTGAACAACTTTGGAAAATTCTCGATTGCATCCCTCTCTGGCGTTATTCGTTCTTGGCAGGCCCTCATGGACAGTATCAAAGCAATTACATAATGTTAGGACAAAGCGTGCTTGCCCTCTTGGGTGACGTCGATCTGGATGGCCAATCGGCGTACCTTCGAAGTAGTCCATAAGCACTTGCGCTACGATCGAGCGATCGTTCATTTCTGAAACGACCTCAAATATTCATATTCGTCGCGTTGGCCAACACGGAAGAGGCACCCGTGATATAAGGCATTGGGAAAGATTCTTTGAATAGCGTTAATGGCCGCGTGCTGGAAATCACTGTGTCGACTGAAGTGCCATGCTTGGTTCCAAACGGTTCATAGCGTCCAGCATTCGCAAATGGCCCGGCTCCGTTTTCACTGGCAGCAAGGCAAATACCGATGGTACGACGTTGGAGTACTGATTCCCGTGAAATTGTGTACAGCTACTGAAACAATTGAGGAACGGTTTTAAGTATTCCATCTGTATACCCGTTTGATGACTGCGGATTTAAATTATAGTTATCGGCCATTACCTTTAGAACGTGATATTTAAAGCAACTTTACAGATGATCGACCGGCAATTGTTTGGGAGTAAATGTCCGGCGAGCAAGTGTGCGCGAACAAATTTTTGTGAACCATCGTTTGAGTACCCGTACCATGCATGCGGTCAAAATTGCTGTTGCACTCAGTGTGATTTCTTAAAATTGTGCCATATGTATCTTGACGACGATCGGATATTAATTTAAACACATGGCGCCACCAGTCCATGAATTGCATTACTTTCGCAGTGCAAAACGTTGCGTAGGATTTAGGCATGTGCAGGAAGCTTGAAGTGCATATTCTCATTTCCATCCGGCTGGTAAAATTTATTCTTCCACACTGATTAGACGATGTACTGTGATTTCTGCGTGTCTATGGCAGGGACGTGAGTGAATTATTTATTTTTTCACTGATGTCCCAATGACATGCTGGAGATCACAGGACATTAGTCTAACTGCATCACTGGTACGAAGTGAATTAAAAACTCCGTTCTGTTTTGAGGTGATCATACATAATGCATATTTAGGCAACGTAACAGTGCCAGATTCCTCATGCTCTATTTAAGTGAGGCGAAAAGGGTCTATTCATCTTTACATAACTTGTAAAGTGTTAGTACAATGACTTCCCTTTGCCTGCAGATCACCATTCTCTGTTGTTGGTTTAGAAAATGATTTTGCCTTGACTAATTTGATATTGGTACGATCGTAAGACTCCAATCCACTTATTAGTAAAGCCATATTCATTTAGGCATTTTGCTTTACAGCACAAAATGGAAACTTAAAATTGGAACGGAGGTTCTGGCTAACTTCGATGGTTTGTATCACCACTTTTTCAGGGGTATATGACGCACGTTGATCTCATTCAGGATATTATGAACCAGAAATATAGTTCCTTTGAAGGCGACTTCTTGTGCTTCACTGGCACACAGTGGTAACTATTTTTCGACATTGGACGATAAGAGGCAAATAACTCTATCACGATTCGAACCGATGCTTTTTCTAAAGTTTCCTGCACTCTGTCAATTGGCCTCTGAACATGTGACTACTGTTGCTTCATTAGCGAACTACGTCAGGGTTCATCGAAAGGACTGTCGGTTAATATGGCTGCCCAAGAGCATTCGTTTCATCGTACATTCCGGTCATGCGATCCGATCCTTGATCACTGTCGAGTTTTTGAAACGAGGATCTGAGACTGATTTCAAAATATCACCCTAGTTTGAAATCTCGTATACAAGATGAAATATGACTGTTTATTTTTTTCAAAATTGTAAAATCTTACAACCTTTCGAATGCACATGGTTTGCTACAGAAAAACGCAGACTGTCAATATGCACATAGAACAGGCTTCAAACACTATAGACAAATAAATATGATTTGCGTTAAAGTCGCTGACGACGCTACAGTGACGGCGACACTGAATCCACTCGGTCTAATTCCATCAGCGATACAGTGTAGCTGGAACCGTCATCACTGGAATTGATTTGTATAATGAACGAGTCTTCATTACAGTAATGGCGAATCATATCGTTGTCTATTTGCACCGTAATTCTGAACAAACATAAACCGTATAGTATAATTCCCAAGCAAAATGCACGGAAAGTCACAAACAAGCGAAAACAAAAAATTGACTAAATGCGCTAAAGTCAAATCTTCCTTTTGACTGCTCTGATATCTCAGCACAAGTACGTAAGTGAAAATTAGAAAACGATTTGGTCAATCGCCAAATTTCGGACAAGGTTAAAACGTCAGTCTTGTTTATTACTTGATCATATCTCATAACTATCATGCACTGGTGGAAATCTTGCATTTTCTCAATGAATCCTTTTAACTAAATCATTTACGTGAATACTTCGGTAACGATAGACCTAAATAAGTTGAAAGCACAGTGCTCGGTAAAAATCAAACTTCTAATCAAATGCAAAAAGTAAGAATCGCGATAACGACAAAGGCATATTTGCAAAACATGTTACGCATGCAGTTTAGGCATGGTCTACCACTTACTTCACTGGCACTTATTTACGGTCAAAACACTAGCACTTAATCTATCGCAACACACACTATTCACAAACGAAACCGAAGTTTTGAATAGACACACTATAAGCAACCGCCCATCACAGACAGAACAACGAAAGAAGTTAAGCGAACAAGAAACAACAAATCAATAATTTCACTTTGGCTTGTTTACCCTTTCTTGCACTGCTTATACAGCCCGGTAATTCGGCTGACATCGATGTTGTATTTAAGCTGTATAGCGTTAATCAGGCCATCAACAGATGGGGGGATTACATGCAGGGGTGTGAAAATACTATCTTCAGATTTTCTTACATATATCATCACTAAAATGGCACTTTACCATAGATTTAGTACAAGTCAGTATTGTGTACCTCGATCAGTGGGATACGCTTTCGTCCGTTTCGGAGATGGCGAAGCGGAGTCATTTTCCGACGTCTCTTCTTTTACCAAAGTTTGCCTTAAACAGCGCAAATTACAGTAAAGAAATTCAAGTCATGCCATAGCACATGCTTACAAGCCTGCGCCATCAATACAGTAAAAGCTCTCGACTGGGGGGAACTAAAGCATTCGGTCAGTTCAACTGTAATTCGCGTAGTTGTAAGTAAATAGTTTACCCTTTCGTAATCCTCCGGCGGTACGAAAAGCACGGCCGGTTTCGTTAGGTTGCTCATATGATAGAATTCCGATCGTTCGCATAGTTCGTGGTATTCGCCGTCGCTCTTCTTTCTCCCTAAACATGGCTCGTTTGATGACCGCTGAAGTGCCATGTCATTCTGTTCCATTTCCGTACCTTGCAGTCGGCGTTTTTCATCTCGTCTCTGTTCGTGAAGCATCTTTCGGTTAGCTCCCTAGAAGTGAAACCCTGTACGGAACCCATAATATGAGGGTACAGTCTTCTGACAACTCTGAACTCATTCGTGTACCTCATGTCGCAAAAAATTGCTCGATTCTGGCACAAAACAAAGGGCCGAATGGAAACTAGCCATGATTGTACGTAAATGACCAGATTTTACCCTTGTCCTATGTTCAGAACGTCAACATTCGACTCGCGTAAGCTTCCACACAACAAAACGCACCCTTCCACACTACAGTTTCTGCTATTGTGTGGAAACTATAACCAGCCGTCTAAGAAAGAGGAAAACAATGTCATAAGAGAGAAAAATAGCGGCCATAACAGTGAAGACCGAGATAAGAAAAGGTGTCAGGATTTACTGTCGCCTGGAAATGCCTGTACCTCACGGCATTCTGCACGCTGATTTATGTCCTCATATTGTCGTCTAACCTCGCTTGACTGCACTTAATAGAATATTATATCACAAAGTTTCAAAGATTCGACACATTTCAAAGTTAACAATAGTTCTGCGCTTGTTTAAGTCACAACGTTCGATACGGAAAACGTCTCCGGTTTGTGAAGTCTGCTGCATTTGGAGCTTGCCGCTCCAATACTTTTGCTACAAGGCACCGGTCAGTGCATCGTAGCAGGAAGTAGTCCTGCCCTGAAGTAGATCGTCTACTGCATTGTTCTTCAGTATGGCTTACGTGTCGACGTCTGCCGTGTTTCGGCTCCTGCATACGAAGTTCTTAGACAGCAGAAAGTGATCTGTGCTTAGGTACTTTGTCTAAATGGACGAACCTCCCTTTCTTAATCTACATATCCAGTGTAGTCACCTGCGTCCAGAAGAGAACAGATTCATGTCTTATATAGTCCTACCGTTTAGGCCTCATTAAACATGGAAAATAACGCCGATACACACAGTTCAGTCGTCGTTCTTGCTCCTACAATTGAATATCTATCTCCTTGACGTACAACAATATTGACTTGACAGAGACTAGGTGCCGAAGGATTTTGTGGAAAGGGCAAAGAGTTACTCCTTCCTCAGCACAAATACTAGACAGGTTACCAAAGGCACTTGAGGCAATGGTGATAGTTCTGTTTAACCTTGTCTGGAAAGTGCCATCGCTGAAGATGATGGAATCGAAATGTTTAAAATGGTCAGCCCCCTTGTTCCACTTGTAGATCAGCTGCGTCGGAGGCATTCCTGACAACGCTTGACTCCTGGGCGTTAAACAAGAGGCCGACGTTCGCAGCTGCGTTGCCTACGGAACACAACAAGTGACAGAGCTCGCTTTCGGTTACGTCTTGGGATAATGCCATTTGCGGGCTTCAGCAAAATATCCAGCCGAGTGTCTTCAACTGCGCTTTCCCTCAAGAACGTGATCTTCGTCCATGTTGGGGTTAGCACCGTTGTTGAGAAGAAAGTCTAGGATCAAGTTGAGTAGCAGAGGTGAAAACACATCTCCCTAATGAACTCCACAGTTAAAAGGGAGCAATTCAGACTGCTCTCCTTAAACTTTGATTGCATACATAGCGCCTGCGTACATTTCTTCCAAAATCGAACGGATGTGCTCAGGTATCCGATAACTTTCATAATCTTACGTGACGTTGGGCGATATGGCGAATCAAATTAGGTCTTAAGGTTGTAGAAACTAGCAAATCATCAGTGGCTGAAATCGTGAGTATTGCTTAGTCATATAGGGCAAAAATACCCGACTTGGAAGCTTGCTCCATTTTAGCGGAGTCTCCAATCAACGGCGCGCTTTAGAATTTCCAGGACAATCCAGGAGAATGTGTCCCGTGAATTAACAGTAATGTAATGCCATCATAATTATTATTCTGTTTTGCTGTTTGTTGGAAGCAAGGACGAATTGCTCAGTGCTGCGGAGTCGAATTGACAAACGACTTTCGCAGAAATCCACGAACGTGCTTTAAGCTACTAAAGCCTTGTGTATGACTTCTGACTTCCTATGTGCTGCCTTTCCAACTTGAAATGCACTCCTGTAAGAAAAATACATGACGAATATTCGTCAGAAAGGGCTGTCCGAGTCGATTAGCGATGAACAGGACATAAATGTACAGATCGCTAAAACACGTGGTTTTGATCCGATTTCATGGCAGCGCCGTTTGCGATCGCTGAAGCAAATATCATGTTCGTCAGGCCAACAGTGAAAACCGGGGAGCACAGGTTATCACGTTCATGTCCTTTGTTTTCTCCAATCTGGACAGTTAATTTGTTTACCTACTTAAAATGAGAACGAAGTTCTGGAGATCAGCAATTCTGGAAACAGACATTTTAAATTCAAGGTCGTAGAACCGTTTGCCGCCTTGTCCTAGCAACTTCTTCCTTGTCTAGTGTCATCGGATGGCCTAGTCTGTGCATTATGCCGTATTTGAAAACGAACTCGTACCTTATCACAGAAGACCTTGATTTGGCAGTATCCTCGATGGAACGGAACGTTCTTGCTGTGAGCCTCGTCAAACGTATCTATCTGCAAATGCAGCGGCAGACCCTTCACGCCCTTCTGGTTGCTGAAGTCGGTACTTAAACACTGCACGGCCACGTTGATCTTAAGCAAGTCGAAAATGCAAAAACAAGCAACAAAAAAACATTCTCACCTTAACCGGTTGCTCGGTTGGATTCCAGTAAAACTGCACAGCGTTGTGAGCAATTTCTTCCATACCGCCAACAATGCCAGTACTGTTTTTGCTGTCTAACATGAAGATGTGTTAACGCATCGCACTGGCAACATCAACATCAGGTAGGTAAGCGTTAGTATAGTATTATTTTCATTAAGCACATTATTTCATCTACATATGGATTGCCCTATTCAGTCGACGGCGCTTTTAAAGCTAAAAGGTGAAAATTTCTAAGCTTTTGTATGTCGATCTCCACCTTAATTGTATGATTTAGAGCCATTCGTGGCACATGAAACGTGGTGTAGCACTAATCATCGTTTCAGTATCATCCACCATGAGTAGCTAGCTAGTTTATGTTTCTACGCTACATGTATAGGTAAACGACCACTATAGCTCATGGTCTCGTTTCCTCCTCATGACACGGTACTCACGCATAAACACCGTGAAAACGTAACTGATCTGACCGAAGGTTGAACTCGGATTTCTTGATTCAGACTCGAAAGTTCTATGGACGGCACAACCGGTTTATAAGAACTAACTGATTTTAACAGCGTCAGAAATCGCTCATTTAGTGATCATATTGCTGCCATTTTGATATCTCTGGAAATTCTCAAAACTATAGTGACTTAAAGAAGCACTGCAACATTAGTCGCTTAAAGCATCAAGCAAGACAAGGAGAGGTAATCACTATGCATACACCCACTAACATGGCCGGACGTCCGTAAGACTCGAGGACTATTCAAATGAATGAATGTATAGGGACGTCACTCGGTCGGAAAACAACGTCATTAAAAGGTAGGCTAACGTGCGATGGGTACACTGAATTTTCACACCATATTTATTTCTCTCGTTTCGGAATAAATCATAGTATATGCAATGTTTTTTACTAATCGACGAGTGTCTGCGAGGGAGAAGGACATGCATTATATAATTATAAAATAAAGTCGTTTGATTTTTGATGGCTGAAACGCTATCTAACCACAAGAACGAATTTCTAAAAGGCTTATCTGCTATCGGTACTGCTGCCCAGTCACATGCCTTGCTACTGTAATCTTGCAGCCACACTGCATAAAGATAAATCAAAGCGCCCTTTGAGAGTGTTATAAATCTTATTTAGAATAGCATGAATCAGAGTGGAGTACTATACCGCGACATTCTTGTAGATAATTACGTTCACATGCATATCTCTTCAAAATTTCGAATCTCAACGTGTAACGTGATCATTTCTATACAAAGAAGCGAAACGACCCTCAACGCCCTTTTTCCTGAGGAAAAAAAACATTCGACTCAATCCTACCTACAATCATACTATCTTTTTCCTACACAGCATGAATAGATCTGTAGCCTGCCGGTTAGTTGTCTAATTAACGGGCCCGTTTGGGTTTGACGGCAGGTATAGACCTCTGGGGAGAGCAGATTTCCCATTATGCTGCTTTGATAGGCGATTAGTGCGCTAGACAATTTCAAGATTTTACGAAATGAGCTCGAGTTTGAATTTGTGGATAACGATGGCTCTACTTGTGGCCAAAGCAAAATCATCAAAATGCTGAGTTAAACAAAAAAGAGCATTTTGTAGACGGGCATAAAATTTTAACAAAGAGGCTGCCTGGTCTCTGAAAGAAAAGAAAACTCATCTG